CCCCCCCCCCCCCCCCCACTGTTGGAGCTATGACACTTCATAAAATTGTGAACAAGTTCCCAATCAGTTCCATTTTTTAAAGTTTCAAATATAATGTACATCTGCACCCAGGATTTATGGCTGAGCTAAGAAACCTTTGTGAAGACAGGCAACTTCCTCTGGGATGTAATTATGAGCATAATTACTTTTGAGAGAAGAAGTGTAGGCCCCTTACATCTTCTTAATGTGCCCTAGTGCATAGTTTAGCAGTCAGGGATGGGCAAAATACAGCCCACGAGCTGAATCTGGCCCACCAGGCCATTCTATCTGGTGTGTGGTGCCCTTAAAAAATTTAGAAAATTAATATTTATCTGCCCCAGCTGTGAAAGATGACAGCAGCCAGGGGTAGTAGGACCCAGGGGAAGCCCTGGTAGGCTCCTGCAATAGCAGGGCTCACCTGGCCCCACCCCCCACCCAGAAACCCCTGCCTAGCAGGGGCTTCTGGCCTGGGAGCGTGGGGCTGTATGCACCTCTCTGCCCCGAGTGGGAAATTCAGGTAAGAAGGGGATGGGGAGACAGGCAGGAAGGTGGGGAAAATGGGGGGGTGGGGAGTGGAAGTGAGCAGACGTGCAGGAGTGTGGGGCCCATTCCAGTGTCCTGGGGCCAGTGCTGGTGGGGCCTGGAGTGGGGCAGCAGGAGCACAGGGCATGGGCTGGTAGGGGTCTGTGGAGCCGGGCTGTACTGCACTAGGAGGGAGAGTGGGGAGCTGACTTGGCTCCATAGACCCCCAGCCAGCTGGGACCCTGTGCTCCTGCCAGCCCTGTGGCGCCAGCATGGGTCCCGCACTCCCACTGGCTGCCATGTGCCTGCTTGTTCCCAGCCCCACCTGACCCAGCTCCATGGCACAGGTGGGGATGACTGTGAGCAACTTTGACCCCAGGCACCCATTCGGGCTGAGCAGCAGTGGCAGTGGGGAACAAGCTGCTGCTCAGCATGGGGGAAAAGCAGCCCCTCCCCCTTCCGCTGCCAGCATTCCCTGTAGCAGCTGCCCAGAGCCCATGCAGGGCTGTTCTGCCTCTCTACCACATCCCCGCCACCTGTGGGGCAGCGGTGGCAATGGAAAGCAGGTGCAGGCAGCCCCTTGTAGGCTCCATGCAGCTGCCACAGGGAGCACCAGCGGCGATGGGTGCAGGGAAGCGGCCGCTTTTGCCCCACCCCAGCAGCAGTTTGTGTCCCACCACCACTGCCACTCAGCCTGTCAGGTAAGCCTGAAGTTGCCACAGGATGCAAGCTGCTAGTGGCATTGATGAACAAACTGCAGCTGAGCATGGAGGGAAAAGCACCACCCCTCCACTGCTGCCGCTGGGCAGTCTGCCGGAGCCTGCTCCATGCTAGGCTCTGCTGTGGCTCCTTTGCCACTGGCTCTGTGCTGCCCAGCATGGCAGCAGTGGCCATGCGGAGCAGCCACACTGGGTAGCACAGAGCCAGTGGCAATGAAGCTGTAGCAGAGCCTAGCACATGTGTGGGCTTCCCCCAGCAAACACTGCCCAGCAGTGGCAAGGAGTAGGGGCGCTTTCATCCACCATAGCAGCAGTTCATGCCCCATTCCTGGTGCCACTGCCACTCAGCCTGACAGACGAGCCCAGAGATGGTGTGAGGCCCAGGCTGGCAGCAGTGGCAAGGAACAAACTGCAGCTGAGCGCAGGGGAAAAATGGCCTCTCCCCTCCCGCTGCCAGCACTCCCAGCACCATCTACTTGGAGCCCACGTGTGGCTGCCTGTGCCCACTCTTCATTGCCACTGCTGCCCCACAGGTGGCGGGCACACAGAGAAGAGGCAGGACAGCCCTGTGTAGGATCTGGGTGGCTGCTGCAGGGAGTACCGGTGGCAGGAGGGGGAGCAGTCACTTTTCTCCCATGCTAAGCAGCGGCTTGTTCTCCACCGCCACTGCTGCTCAGCCTGGATGAGCCAGTGGGATGTGCGTGGAGTTGGGTCTGCTCGCAATCTTCTCTGCCTGTGTCATGGGGCTGAGGCAGATGGGGCTGGGAGTGAGCAGGTGTGCGGCAGCTGGACGGGAGCCATGGCTTCCAGTGCTGGTAGTTAAGTGCTGGCAGCAGGACAGCCCTGGGAGGGAAGAAACTGGCTCTGTGTGCCCTGTCCTGCTCCTGCCACCAGGGCTGAGCTTGGTAAGGTGCTGCCCATGCACCGAGACCCACACCAGGCCAGGCAGGACCTTCCACCCCTGCCCACAGCTGGGAGCAGGGGGATGCGGGCAGGGAAATGCCGAGGGCAGAGGACAGGGAGGCAGCTCTGCTGCTTGCTGCTAGGAAAGACAGCAGAGCCCCTTCTTTCTGGGCAGCCCCAACTGGGTCCTCCTCGGCCACCACCTGTGCAGCCCCCTCCCCCCCAGTGCCCCAACCCCATCCAATCCTTGCAACTCCACCCCCCCATAAAAATTAAATTTAAACATGTATATTAAATTTAAATCTGTAAATTATAGTGTTTGCAGGTCCACAGTATGAAAAGGTTAGGAGCCCCTACCATAGACCCCTGCCAGCCCACAGCCCCTGTTCTTACCACCCCACTCTGGGCCCCACAGGCCCTGCACTCCTGCATGCCTGCCCATTTCCATTCCCCTGGTCCCTTGCTGCCACCTTTCCCACTTTCCTGCCCACCTGCCAACCGCTCTGAACCCCATGGCTCCCATACCTACAATACCATACCCACACATACATATCTGCACAAACCCCCATACTGACCCACCCACAACTCCCCACAAACCCCATATTCACCCCATCATACCCCCTGACACCCATACATGCCCCACACAGTATACAAGTAAAACTGCATTTTGAGCTTTTATGCAATCACTTCTACATATACAGCACAAAGACACACAAATCAGATCAAAAATATATTTTTTAAATTAAATTAAAATATATTATTATGGGTGTTTGATTTTTAGTATAGAATTTGTATTTTTCCCCCCTAAGATGGCAAACCCACTTCTCCAAAGGAGTACTTCCAGAAACAAGGGGAGGAACTTCTGGTGGCAAAGGTCAGAGGTTAAGGGGGTGGAACTTCTGGTCCCAAGATGGCGACCAGGGGACGGGGCACCTGTCAAAGGGTGGGGCTACCCATGTGGCCCTCGGCAGCTTGCCAAAACTTGGTAAGCGGCCCTCTACCCAAAATAATTTCCCACCCCTGGTTTAGCTTGATAGTTTTCTGGCTTTTGAAAATCCTTCTGTTAAGCAGACATAAATCCCAAACGTTGTACAGGAAGCCTTAGGCTGAAGACTCCACTAAGTACCAGGAGATCTATCTAAACCTTAGGTGCTGCAATACATAACACTGCACTAGCTATGGCACTTGGAGTAACCATGAGGACAGCAAAGAACTGAGGCAACCAGACCTTTTAATAATAAGACGTTTCTAACCTTAGCTATAATAAAACTTTGCATAAATTTCACTTGTATAAAAACTAAATTCTTGGTTGTTTGGAACATGTTCACTCCCTGCAATTTCCTGCTAAATTACTTCTTCTACTGGTCGTTCTTTAAGATAACTCTGAAAGGCTGAAAAGAATGACACAATATTTCTCCAAACATAAAATAATGGGTTAATGTAATAGGTGATAATCATTGTTTAAAGTCAAGCTAAGAAAAAAAAATGTTCTTTATATCTTTCCTTAGTATATTCTGAAAACAAAGAAAATCTAGAATTGAGGTTAAGCTTTTCAGTTGTCATGGAGAGGTTGGCAATTTAAATTTTTGTCCATTTATATTCAGTTTAGTTTCCTTTTCTTACTGAGCTATTGTTTCCCTGTAATTTGAATGCCAGGCGATTATGAGAGCTGTGCACTGAAAACTGACTCAGCTCCATTTTACACCCACCTACGAAACTGAGAAGACAGTTTGGTCACATCTAGCTGGTAAAGTAGCTCCTTTCACATCTCAGCTGAATTTTAAAATGTTCACTTTTCAACTCCAGTGCCCCTTTATTTATCTAGGTTTTGTGTACAAACAATTTTATATTTCCAAACCATTGGAGAAAGATCTAACTGGTTTTAAAGGAGGCATTGAACCATCTAAACAGATTAGTGATCCAAATTAGGGCTGTGCAAAACAGCACAGTTCCATTTCGCCTTGTGTTTCGACTGTTTGAGGGAACAGTGTTTCATTTCGAATTTCATTTCAAGTCGAAACAGCTGTTCTGTTCTGTTCCATCAAAACTTCCCATCCCCAGCCTATAGTCAAAATGTTTCGACTTTCAAAACCTTTCAACTGGCCTTGTTTTGTTTCTAGGCTATTTCAACGGGCTTTATTTCATTCTGATTTTGCTGTTTCGACCTTGAAATTGGTTGAAACAGTGTCAGAATGAAACGGCTGGTGAAATTTTGCACAGCCCTAATAGAAATGCCTCAAATGGTTTGGAGTCTCTGTTGTTCTGGATACTGTAAATACCCCAATGTCCATAATGCTTATCTGACCTTAAACCAAAGGCTTTTGCTTTCCCTAATTTTGGTGGCACTCTCATAAGAATCTGTGAATCTGTCAGGGGATCTTTGTCTCTGGTCAAGTTAGAGAAGGATGCTTTTTTTTTCTTTATTAAATTCTCATATCTTGAGATTTTCTGAGGATGGTTTAGCATTTGACAGTAGTATAGATGATGGCTGTGACGGGGCAATGGACTAAAATGTATATGCAACTTGTTCAAGGAAGTCAGTTACAGGCAAAAGAGTGAATTCTCCAGTTTTCTCTCATAATAAAGGAAAATAGAGCTCTGGGACTCGACTTTATTTGGCACACTGAGATTAAACAGTCCCATTACAGTGAGTATTAATTGGATATTAGAAATACATCCTTACTGGTGTTCTATCTATTTAGGTTAATATAACTATTGAGTCCTCACAAACCAAACCAAGATTTTTGGGAAAATGTAAACATGACTGATTACAGGTGAGGTCCCTTCACCTATATTTACCTATTAACTATTTTCCATTAACCTAGTCCTATGACAGTTTATGAATCTACTTTCTCTTTTAGCTAATCACTTGATTTGCCCTTTATGAAAGCAAGCCTCCTCCACAGGCAGAGACAGATTTTCAAGAGGAAGCTGGCAATCCCATTTCCTTGTGTTTCTGTGTGTTGAATGTATCCAGAAACGAAGAAAAAAGGAGATGGGATAAAGGAAGCCTTTGAACATTTGAATTCTTACCTAACAAATTTTGCTCCCAAAGTTCACAGGACAGTAGTTACAAAAAAGCTTCAAGGGAGCCATTCATTCTCCATCAGAAAATTCAGTTCTGTCAATACTGAGCTATATCAGAAAATCATGTTTATTTTCCCAAAAATTTTGAAGAGGGGCAAAAAAGTCCTAATGATGTCAAAACACCCCATGTTGGCAAATTTGGGAAAAAACAGTTCAAATTTACCTTTGGAAATAACCTTTTGTTTCCATTGTTATTTTATATTTTGAAATATATTTGTAGTGCTTTGATGTTATTGATCTGAAATGATGTCTTCTTCATAATTTTCATCGGTGGAGAATCTTGAAATTGTCAGGTCTCATTCTGATTTTGAAGTGGAAGGCTGCAAAGTTATTCCTTAGTATTTTCAGTTATCTCTGTGCAGCTGCATCAGGAGTGAATATGACTTTCTTGTTTTATCTGGTCACAAAAGGACTATTAATTTAATATTTTCCCTCTAGAATCCATACGTTTTATCAGATTTTGTGACACTTGTAATGCTTCTAAATAGCATGGCCAGAAGCGTAGGAATAATAGCATGAGGCTACTATAGATCACAGTAAAAAAAGGAGTCTGCTGCTCTAGATAAAATGAGGTTTTTATAATTCAGCGTGCTAACTCAGAAACATTTACTGGCACACAGCAGGAAAAGAACAACTGGTATTAAAACTGATGCTTGCAAATTAGTAGTTCTAGTTATCAACTGTAACTCAAAACAGCCACACTTCTCCAAAGCAACCATTAATCATTTGAGGAAAGGTCTCTTCTGAAAAGGAAAATTTAACAACTCATCTTTTTCATGAAGGATTTCAGTTCCATACATGCTATTCTGGTTTGGAGTTGTGGGGGCTCTCAACCATCCCTACATCCCTGCTGTACAATTGGATAGGTACATTGGCCTTGTGCTATTCAAGAACTGTCCTGTCCATGAATGCAGCTCGATGAGATCTGGCTGATCATTAAGTTCTGATTTCACTGTGCACATGTGTTACATGCAACTCAGCAGCCGAGAGAAAGCCTCCAATTCCCAATCAGTGTACAGTGAACTGAAACTGTGGTTTCATTGCTAATGGCACCTATTCTGATGAGCTAATTCATATACTCCATGAACTGCTGCTAGCTTCATCACCTATAGCTTCAAGTGCCAGCCTACACTGCAGTCTAACTATAGTCCAGCCCAAACTGGCTTGTGAGATACATGACAGCTGGGCATTTTAATGTGGCCCCCCAAAAAAGAGAAGTAATTAAATAAAAAATCTTTTTCTCTGGTTTCATGTATTATGTTCTACTTGTCACTTAATGCTGAATGGTTATTTGACCTGGGGTGCTACATGTAGATCAATGACTATGGGTATGTTCACACTGAAAACTTTGTGCCAAGCAGGTTTCAGCTCTGTCAAGATTTTGATTTGCAGCTGAAGGCTTAGGAAATTTGGCCACCCCTAGAATAGACCATGATGTAAGCCTTTGCAGGTGAACAGTCTGTCAAAATGAAGGTTGTAAAAGTGAAATGTGGCAGTAACCTGGCTTACAAAATAGGTAGGTGGCTGGTTAATTCAAAGGGAGGGTCTTTGAGGGAAGGGACCCTCCCTCAAAGGGAGGGTCTTTTCAGGGTCTCAGTATAGTGGTGGTACCAGTGCATGCCTTTTCAAGCGGGTTTATTAGCAAACTGGGGAAAGTAAAATATATGTTATGCCACCCCAGAGCTGCTTTGTTACATGTAACTCATAGTATCCATCAGTAAACACATGAAGAACAAGACAAAAAAAATTGAGATCTTTAAGGAGTGAGGAATACTTTTTTTTTCCACCCCAGGAGACAGTGATAGAAGATCATTAACCATTATCAGTGGGTTTCTGCCAGGCAGTGGACTGCTGTAGGGGCATGCTCCATGTCCCTAACATTCTAAGTGTAACAGTACAGAAACTGGTATAAAAATATTTGTGATGGAAAAATGGGTGAGAAAGAAAGTTCTGGCTGTCTGCTGTCGAAGGAATAAATGTGTTTAAGCAGTTTATTAGATTATTTATTTAAAAACAGGTTGTGTTCATGTAAAGCTGGGTCCTACGGTAACAGTAGCATGGTCAGTCAAGATCAAGGAGAATCGGAATAGTAGGTCTTTCAGTGTCTACCACCAGTAGCAAAATGTGTGTCACATGTGTGTGTATGCGAGGGGGGGGGGAGGAGCCACAGAGAGCAGGGCATCAAGCCCTGTGTGCCAACTTTGTAGTGTCCCCCACCCCTGCGTGAATCCACACCCCAGCAGTAGCATCACTGTTGCAGCAGCAGCCAGGTGCACAGACCAGACCCCATTTTGATGCTGTAGCTGCAACAAGCAGGGCAGATATACAACCTGGCAATGACAGTCCCCTACTAGACCCCTGCTCTTGACACCCTCCCCTCCCCTCCTTTTCTCCCCCTCCAGCCCACCCCCATCTTTTCCAGAAGGATTTGTCCAGGGAAAACCCTGCTGGTTACACTTGACTACTACATACAGCCAGGTGGTTCAGAAGCTGCATGAACTGAACACAGAATGATTGAGGGTCCTTTTTCTACATCAAAGAATCATTTTACTCTAGTTTTCTCATATTGGGTCAAATGATGAAATCTTTGCTGTCTTATTGATCATCAGGCACTTACATGATGGTTGCAGAATACATCCACCCCTTGTTGCTTGAGAGCAGCATAGTGCATTAATGCTCTACTTAAATGTGGCACATCTTTATGACTGGTTTGCCATTTTATTGTACCATAAATTGCTTGTATCTGTGGCATGTTACAATTTATGGCACAATTAACATATTCATTGTGCCATAAATGTAAAATTGACCTGGCGCCTGAGGGACAGATTGTGAATGCCTTGTTTCCATTGCAGAAGCTCATGAACTGTTGCACTAAAGTGAGCAGAATTATTTGTATGAGCAACTGTTCATCAATGGCAGCAAGACCTTTACTTTCTGACCCTAAAGGAGCTGAATTTTTGTAGTTAAAATCAGACCAAAGGAAGTCTAAAGCAAATCAGACCCTTCTCCTAAAAAACAGAAAATCCTCTACTGGGATTTTACACACACACACACACACACACACACACACACACACACACACACACACACACACGCACATCGCACATGCACACTGACGGG